ATATATTTAGCAAGTCCAATAATGTCTGGGTGTTTTTCAGAAGGAACAAAGGGACAGTGTGTGCTCACGGCTGAAGCTCAGTGGCTGAAATGTGGCTGTTGTGTTCAAGAGAAATGGAAGAAATCCCGCTGGAATTTCATAGTAAGTTTATGCTATAATTTTCTTTTTTTAACTACATCGCTATCCTTACTGACACTGCAGTGGATTATGATTATTGGATATTTTAGGCATATTGATATTGCTTAATTTTGCATTTATATGGTGCTGTTTGCATGGACATTTGAAAACTTTTGATAGTAAATTATATGGTTTATTCACTTTTATTACTTTCTATGGAACCTGCCATACAAACAGTGTAGGACAAGTGGTGATGGCGTGGAGCACTCAGTGTGGATCAAAGATTAGTTGTCCATTTAAAATCCTTTCCATGTTTAAATAGGGTTAAGGGTTAAGTTAATGATGACATTGTGTGACTGAAAGCCCTTCACGTCTTATTTCTTCTTGTACTGTAGAACGAAATGAGAACTTGTTGAACAGAGCTATAGAATGCATAATACAGTTCCTATGCTCTATCTTTTCTATATGACAGACACATATCACTTGATTTAGTAATAGTATATCTGCTCTTATATAAGAAAAAGACCAAAAACATTTGCAGAGAAACAGAACTTGTCCGAAAACATTTGACCACAGCGTAGTCCAATACTAAACTGAGAGCTGCAAATTAACGTGGAGATAATGTCATTTAACCAGCAAATATTTGACGCTGACATTTACTTAATGAGGAGAGATAGTAATCTGCGAGAGACGAGGAGAGCAGATTCAGCACCCGCTCTTGTTTCCTCCTATGGACTCTTAACCTTTGCTGTTCGAACAGGGTTTGTTGAATATGTTGATGAAATTAGCCCTCTTGGATGTGTTCGGGTGGTGTTTTGTGCTGCAGTTGGTGAGTCAGGCACAGCTCCAGGCAGATGGTGGTCAGAGTGGTGCATAAGGTACGCTTGATATTCATCAGAAGAGCTGACCTCTGCCATGATGTATTCAAGCGTCCAACCAACCTCACTCAGAGTTCATCCCTGCATAATGAATGGATGCAGAAATTTAAAAACATGACAAAAGCCATTTTCAGCTCTTACTTTACTTCCCCTCGCTCATGGTTTGGTTGGGTAAAAACAGGGATATTCTGAGAAAATTTACTTTAAAGTAGGTTTGGAAAAGGACCACTGATGCTGATTCTATTATTCAAGGTCGGTTGTTATAAGAATTTGCTGGCGTATCGCAGGGTCAGGCAACAAAATTCACCTTGTATTATTAAAACACACACACACACACACACACACACACACACACACACACACACACACACACACACACACACACACACACACACACACACACTTAGCCCTGAAATTCTCTTTCTGAGGTAAAAACTTCGGCAGCAGCATGAAGCTGCAGTCACTTCATTTTTGTCAGCTGAGAGAGTTCTTTGACATAAACCACTTTTTGCTTTACTGTCGTTGCTCCAAACTCCAAACTTACTTACTTATTTCTCTGTAAATCCAAATATGAAGGTTGACATGAAAAACTATAAGCTACTTTTAAGATTAATGATAATACTTTGTAATAGACTCTAAATGATCAACAATCAATTAAATTACTGTACATAAATGGCTGTTTCAGCTTTATCAAAAGGGAATTCGCTTCATGTTTGACTATATATATATTTTTTTTTCTATTTCTGCCACACATACTGTACATCTAAACATCAGTGCTTAAGGTGACCGTAAACTTATTGTTCTTGACATACTGTAACACTCTGTTAACATTGTTGACTGGGTGTTACTGTACAACAATGCATAGAAACACACACACACACACACACACACACACACACACTCACACGCACACACACACACACACACACTGTCTTTCCTGCTGCTAAACTGCTAATGAGCAGACAATTAGGTTTTACACAAAATGTGTCATGGTGCTGTTGTTTATTGCAGCTTTATGTGGTGTAATAAGGTCATGACATTTTCTTCAAGTAGATAAACTCACACACACACACACACACAAACACACACACACACACACACACACACACACACACGTTGGCAAGTTTACCACACACCTTGTTCTCATTTTCACACATGTATGCACACACAGACACAGACACACACACACGCGCACACACACACACACACACAGTCCACCTGGTACACTGTATGTACGGATGTGATACCTGTGAGAATGTGTCACCACACTCTGTTCCCACTGCATCGCTGGATGGATCAGTGGTCTTTGGAAAGAGGGAGTGTGTGTGTGTGTGTGTGTGTGTGTGTGTGTGTGTGTGTGTGTGTGTGTGTGTGTGTGTGTGTGGTGTGGTGGGGAAGGGAGGGGGATATATCTGTGTTTGCCTACTTCTGTTTTTGTGCTTGTAACAACATATTTTTTATCGTCTGTATAAGAGATTAGAGTAATAGTCCATTTGTCAACATGGGAACATTTTACTATGTAAATATACATGCGCGTGTGTGTCTGTGTGTGTGTGTGTGTGTGTGTGTCTGTGTGTTGGTGAAGGGGAGGGAGGATGAAAAGGGGGATCTAGGACAGGTGCTTTAAGGTAACCCCTTTGACTCATGGTCTCTTCACTAATTAAGTTTAGGCTCTTTATGTGCATATGTATGCGTGTGTGTGTGGGGGGGGTAGGTGTGTGTCTATTTGTCTATCCATGGGAAAGGTTTGCCTTTTCCACTCTCTTACAATTTGATTATTTTTTTAACCTATCTAAAAGCACATTCAGTCTACTCGAGTTTGATCCAAGCTCTATGAAGCTTTGATTTTTAGTTGTTTTCTGAATTTTAAGCTGACTCACCTCGGAAACAGTTTAGATCTTCATGGGACAATAGCAACAACCAATAAAAGTAGAGATGATATTTGTAATGATAACAATAAAACACTTTTATGTTCTTGTCTGCAGCGAAATGAAGTGTTGTGGTGGAACAGGGTATTATATATCCACTTCCATTACCCAACCTGTGCAATCAGACAAACTGTGTTGTCATATCAGAGGGAGATGACTGGACCCTGGACCATAACAATAAATCACATATAAAACCTAAAGGTGATATTTTAAAGGTAGATTTTCTTAGTCCTAATCGACTTTTTTGTATTTATGATGTGTCAACCTTGAGTCATCCCAGTAGGCTGTTACACCATCAACTGCACACAGGTAAGACTGAAAAAATGTTTTATTAAAATAATGTCAAATTAACATGGAAACATAAGGATACATATAGGCACACACACATACTGAGTTTGAATTGTATTCAATCATCATTGTTTACCGTTATTCATTATTTTACAACAATAACAACAAAAACAATTATGGACTAATAGAAGAAGTATTAGTCTGATCTTTGCATATAAAGTCAAAATTGCTAAAGAATTATTTTAATTACCTACTGTTAAATTTTGGTAGATTTACACTAAAGTAGAGACTGATATAAAACAGAGGTGGTTCAGTCTCTGTTTGTGCAAAAATAAGCCTGCATTCGCCAGCAGGGAAGATGGTCTTTAGCCTGAGTGGGTGTTGTTGGCCAAATGAAAGAAGAGAGAATTGTATTTTAAGGATGATACTGCTGTTGGTGAGATTTATTTTTTTCTATTGTCGCACACCATTACATTCAGTTGTCTTCTCAATACTGGGGATTCAGTTTATGTTTATTTCAAACCTGCTCAGGTCTAATGAGATTTGTCAAAGTCCATTTTGGTTTGCTCTCCTATTTGTCACAAAGGCTTTCTTTATCATTGGTCAGTGCCGTTGTGTTTTATTTAATTAAACAAATGATTGTCAATTCACATTGATCAAGATTGCATACTGAAGGGGAGATGGAAAAAGTGACTTTATATTTGGATATTAACGCATAGAAATTGTTTAAAGATTCTTTCAATATGTATAAGTATATATAACTGTGGTCCATAGATCTTCAATAAATGAAAATAATTGTTAACTTCTATAGTTAACATTTATTTCAACTACAATCGAGTGAATCAGTAAACTTAGCAAACTAACTGAAAATCTTTTGTTTAAAAGCAGACTTGAGGAGAGACATTCAGTGCATCTAGTCCAAATTTAAACTGCATGCTCAAGCAAGTTGAATCGTGCCTGCCACCCACAAGCTATTTTCCACCTGCTGCCCACCTACATCAACAATAGTGAAGCATAGTCCAGGATAAACACAAACACAAACAGACACAACAGAGTGCACATGGTGGCTACACTTCACAGATTAACCTTTATCCTCCCTGATGAGACCTGTTGTTCTTACCTGGAGCACTTCGCATTCAACACAATATGGACACCATACTGAAACAATACTACCCTTTTCTTCTACTCACTCTGAGATAATGCTACGTGAGTTTTTGGTTGTGGGCTAAAGTGGTAGGGCTAAAGCAGAGCTCCTGACCCTCAGGTCAAACTGGGTCTGTCCACATAAAACATCCAATTTACACCTAAAAGCTCCTGTGAGGCAATTAAATGTCTGGTAAAACAAGTGTGCTTGTCCAAGTTGCGTGTAGCGTTAGTTTAGGGGGACGGACATTCAAAACAAAGCATTATCTATTGTCACATAAAACAAGTCTTCATTTTAATGAGAATTCTAAGTGTTCACTTTAATTTCCCATTGCAACTACAACACAACCCTGTAATCAGGGAGAGAGACAGAGAGATAGCGAGAGGGGGAAGAAGAGAGGAGGGGATCGGGTTTCTCAGCCGCTCTGTACCCTAATCCTGGATTTGGAAATGGGATGAGGAGAACGCAGGTACGGACAAACACAAGTAATAACAGCACTGACATGAGATTGGTAGGTGGGGGTGAGCAGCTTGATAGGAAATAGGGGGCCTCATAGGTCGACAGAGGGGTGGTTAGTTGTAGGTGGGTGGGATATAAATACCTGCAGTAGACAAGGGCGGCAAAATGCTGAGGGTATGACAGACAGTGGCTTACCTGCATCTATAATAGAGAAAAAGAGACAGGGACAGGCAGTGCAGAGGCCCTAATGAGAGAAAGCTCAGTAGCAGAGGAACATCTTTGAGCAGAAATACCAGTGATAGTAACTTGAACCTGAAGCTCATCACTATTCATCTTCAAGAGTCTTGGCTGAGGGTGCAGATGTGCCTAAAGCTGTGAAGAGTTCTGGCTGAAGTGCTGACAGCCATTTATCTTTGATGAAAAAAAAAAAGGTAACCTATGACAGTTTTTTACACGCACATTTCCAAGTGACTTTAGTGAGAACTATGTTTGACTGAGCCTGGGACAGAAGGACCAGTAGATGATATGAGAGGTGAAAGAAGACAGGACGCAGCGAGGTAAAGACAAGAGAAGACAAGACCAAGCAAGGCAAATCAAAACAAGACACAACAAAGGAAGGCAAGGAAACAGATTTTAAGACGAAAAAGACACAGGACAAGGAAAGGAACCAGACTGGACCAAATAAAGCCAGAGAGGACAAAGCAAAGAAACAAATCAAGGGATCAACTCAAACTTCAGTGCACCATTGGGAGTGTTCAAAAGGAGGCCGGAGAAGAATGGCATGCCAGGCATTCAGTGCCGACTCTTTCACCCAACTTTCAGTAGATTCACCTTTACCAATCCTCATGCACCACGCCTCTACTAGTGACTGCCTGCCAACAACGTCCCATGCTCACATGGTTTCTCCAGGTAAGCTGACCTCAAATGTTCTTCTGTACTGTAATGTTTAACATATTTTCTTTTGTGTCATTCTCTTTGTGTTTTTCTTTACCTTTGCCCAATTTGTTCTGCAAAAAGTAAGAGGAGAATAGAAGTTTGCAGTGTCTGAATGGTATGATATGGAGCATAACCCGCATAGTGTTGTCATGATGTTAAATCCTAGCTGCAGGAAGGCAGGCCTCTAACAACCACTTCAGTCTTCCACTTCAGCCCTCTGAAGCTATATGAAGAAAGGGTATAGGCATTTTGATTGTATAGGTATCATGAGTGCTACAGTTGAGTTATGTCTCATATAGGGCTACAAGTTGTTCCCATAGACCTCTAACTGACCCAACCTTGCCGCCTCCTCACTGCCTCCTTATCAAGGCACATTTGTGTTCTCAGGCAATAGGGAGGATGAATTGGATTGAAAAAATACATTTATTCAAAGCCAATCCAAATTATGTAAATGTATCTAATCAGCTGGTTTGGCCCAGCTGTCTCTACTCAGTGGGTAATTGCTTTGAGGATATGTTATCAGTTTGACAAACTCCCCAAGGTCTTTCACGACAGAGCATTGTGGAGAAAACTTCCTGGGGGTTTAAGTGGCTGCTGATTGTTATAGTTTAGAATAGACTGGATTAGATCATGCAGAACATTAGTCATACAATACATTCAATTTTACCTTTTTTTTCTCTACTTAGGCAACTTGTGGAATTTTGAGGATGTTGTTTTGCTGCAACAAAATGTTGACCTGGTCTTTATGTTCTGTCTTCAGATGAGTCTATGAACTAAATAAATGTGACCATCTAAAATAAATGGAAAATGTATGTAACTTCATAAGAAGTAAGTGGCAAAGTATTTTTTATTGTTTAAGACAGCCTCATAAGCCTTGGCTGAATCATCATACGTGGCAAAGGAGAACCATTGCATAAAAAGATGAATATATGAATAATTATCTAATTAGCAGGATGTCATGACCTGAACAATGTTCAAATATATTTGAATACACTCAGAGAAGAGCATCCACAAAAGCAGAGGTTTTAAATAGAAGTCTTCATGTAGCCGGGAATCAGTGTCATAATAAATACAACAATTAAAAAAAATGTTATGTTAATTTCCCTGGTTTTATAAGCATATGTTTTGGTTCGTTGCTGCCTCTGTGTTCTTCATGGGTTCATTTCAGACCTCTTTTGTGTAAGATCTCCACGTATGAGATGTTAGCTATGTTAGCATTTAATTCTACGGTAGATGACATTTCTCTCCATTGTCTAGTTTAAAGAATAAATGTGTTCAACTCAGACTGTTATCACTTGTATTCATATCTGGGTGATGTTCGTTGGTAAAAGTTTGAATATCATCTTCATCTTTCACTTTCTTCCTTTCTGATGTGATGGAGCTGTCTTTGTGTGCATAGCTAGCTAATATGGTTTAGAGTATATTTCTGATCAGAAAAGTAAAATAATTCATTTAATGCTTTAAGCAGAAGGTTTAATTGTGCATGAGAAACTGTGTGTCCATGGCATTAATGCTAGTTCAGAGGCGCTTCCACATTTCTTTAAGAACCCACTTGTTATGAGATAAAATTTAAATATATTGTTTAAAGGTCTTATGCCAACACGCTGCTGTTTCAGTTTGAAAATATAATATAAGAGAGTTTTTTGAGTCTTCAAAGCCGCTGAAAATCTGACCTGCACTCAGGTCAGATCCAGTTCTTAGATTGCTGATTTTTTGTTCTCCAGTCCTATTGTAACCACTTTTGTCCCCATCAGTGTCATCCGGGCTGTCCTTGGGTCAGTCCTCCAAGCGCTCCCACATGCACTTGTCTACTTCGTCCCTCGGCAACGCTCTTGGCAACGGCCCCCCGAGCCTACATTATCCAGTCACCCCCTGTCACTACAGCAACCAGCAGGCCACTTATGGCATGATGGCAGGTGAGTGGTGGTGATGGTATTGCATGGTTGTAATTAATCTAGCACTGATAGTCAACAAACAATTAATCATCAACAGTTCTGATAGTCAATTGATAATTTCAGTAATTTACTGAGAAATTGTGACAGCGTGTTTTAATTTTTTCTCTTAGATTAAACTACTAATTGATGATTATTATTATGATTGATGATTAATTATTAGTTACAGCAGTGACTGAATTTAAATATTTATGATGGAAATGTTACTAGCAAGTTCAGTGATTGTTACTGTTCTGACAACATTTTGACAGTAAACAATGACACTGATCATTGTTTACTGACCTATGCTGACAATGGTTATGACTTGGATGAGGATGATAAAAAGGATGCGGCTACCGAAATCCAACCTGGCACAAAAAGTGTGAAAGCAGTGAAGTTGGGTCTAGAGCGCACAGAAAACAAGTCTCAAAAATCTACAGTCCGAGGTCGCCTGTCACTAAATTATTCAGTTCCAGTCATGTGTGGTCATAATCTGCATACTAAAAGTATATTTTAATTAACTAATTAATTAATTAGGTATAGTTGCAGAACTGAATGCAGCATTAACACTCAAGTGTCACATGTGATTTCAATGTCAACCAATCTTATCAATAATTCACACAGTGTCACAGTGATATTTTAATACAAGGATGACTATGATAGAGGTTTTGATGATGATTATAGTGCAGACAAAGACAATTGCAACATACAGGGTAACAACAATGGTGATTATGAAACCTCTCTCTCTCTCTCTCTCTCTCTCTCTCTCTCTCTCTCTCTCTCTCTCTCTCTCTCTCTCTCTCTCGTGTGTAGCTCAGGAGATGCTCTCTGCCAGTATTTCTCAGACTCGTATCCTGCAGACATGTGGTGTCCCTCACCCGAACATGGTGAGCGCTGCAAATCCATTGCAAGGTAATGATCTTTTAACACACTATCAGTCCATCACACACACACACACACACACACACACACACACACACACACACACACACACACACACAAACACTGATTCCCTCTCCTAGTCTGTGGGTAAAGCCAATAAATTGAGCAGACAATTGGTTTACTCACATTTAATTTAAAATCTGTTATCAGTTAAAATCAATTTCAGACTTGATTACTCTGCCTAATGCTAGAGCTCTTTAGCGCACTTGTTAAACATGACTTTCAAAGACGACCTGCCACTTTGACAGTCATCATTTAGCTCCAAGTAGATCAAACAAAGCACTTTTTAAATTTAGAATAGTTGCCTAATTTAAACAATCAGAATCAGAAATATTTAATTGATCCCCGCAGCTGTAACAATTTGTCTGTTACAGCTGCTCAAGGTGCTCACGTGACATTAAAGAATAGAAATTATAATTATATAACAATATCTAACAATATATCTAGATATATAATAGAAATGTATATATTGGTACATACATATAAAATAATAATAATACAATATACAGATATAGAAGTAAGCATATGCTACATGACCAACAAAAGTGTAATAAAAAAAACAGTAGTGACTATTGATAATGTTAATGTTGACAACTCTACTCACATTAATATTATGACATTTTTAAGGTTGTAACAACACTATTACAGCTAACATGCCAGAGCAGTGATACTGAGCTGTAGTACTCGAGTCCAGGCTTGAGGCGTTTTTTCTATTGTCTCTGACTTGGCCATTTTTAATTAACTTTCTTCTTCAAAACAACTCCTTTGATGAAGCCCTTTTGTTCAGAAAATGCGTATTGATTTAATTCAAAATCTATCTAGAACGAGCATTGACATTGGTAACCATAGTGACCAGCCGGGCAATCATTGGCACTTGCAATTGTATGCCTGCCTGCCAAAACACTGGCAATGGCAAAAGCATTCTCTTTTTTTATGTCTCTGTCTCATTTGGACTCGGTTTTGACTTGGACTGAAACCTCTTTGGACTCAGTCATGACTCAGTCTTGACTCAGTCTTGACTCAGTCTCGACTAGTCCTGGTCTTGGACTCGACAAAGGTGGTCCTGACTATACAGCACTACCTCCTGCCAGTAAAAGGCTATGTATCAGAGCAGAATGTGGCGTGACTATGGATGTTTTAGTCCTCCAGAAGCTCCGGCTCTGCCCACAACTCTCTCCTCCAGAGCTCCCCGGCCTCAGCAGCTGTCTGTCAGCAAGCAATGTCTCCTCTATCCCTCCGCTCCCCCCTGTTCTCTTCATGCTACAGTCTGTCACTATCACTAAGTGGTATTGCAAGACATGCTGAGTTGGCTCATGTCAGTAGATATCTCTGCAACACAATGCATAAACATCTTTGACATGATGTCAGAACTGGTACCTCTTCAGATTCTGTTTACAATGTCAGTTCATTTTTGTTGTTTGTTGTTGTTGACAGCATAGTAAAGTATAGTATCAAACCATTAACTTACACCAATATAGTTTGTTTCCCACTTGAACACAGACCATTGAAGCACCCAGACATATCCAACAAGTAGAATCTATTAGACAGGATTTCACTGGACAAGTGTCCTGCATACAAATCCCTCTGAATAATAAAAAAAAAAGTCTGAAGTAGATAAAAATAATTAAATTTTTTGACGCAGTTCTTTGTTAAAGTATGATTGAACTGTTACAATTATAGGATGTAATCAAGTTGGAGCAAATACAGACCAAAAAGAGTATGACCTAAAATGTAACCCAGGTGGCACAGAACAATTAACATTTGGAGAGGAAATAAGATTGGTTTATTTAACAGACGAGACTGTTAAATGGTAGGATTTTAACCACTCGAGTGTAGACCCAGCGACATCAACGCCGCACCTATAAACGCTCTAATAAAACTGCGGTCTGCAGTGTCATAGGCTGCGCTGAAATACGTTAGGATTAACACTGAACAGCTGGCCACATTTATTACCATCAGGAGGTAATCTTATAATGAATTCAGTTTCTGTACTGTCTATCAACTTGTTTGAAATCAGCTAGTTTGCTGCATTCATCTACATCTGTAGAAAAGAAAGGAAAATGTATATACTGTAAGATTGTTATTAAGGACAACAGGATTTTGCTTTGCATGAAATAGGGGAAGTATTTGAGGACAGACCAACCAAATGTATAAAACTCCCTTAAGAAATTTAGTAGGAGACATATCAAGTGTGCATGTGGTGGAATCCACGTGAGAAAATCACACAATGAAACTTGTTCAAAGTTTCAACAACAGCACTCAGCAGGATAGGATGTGTGAGAGGAACGGACAGTAACAGAGTCAATAGCATTAAACAGAACTCTGCAATGTGAACTGGATGAGACAAGGACAGGAAAGAAATTGACCCTTTCATTTTTAAAGCTGCAATAATCTATTTTTTTATATTAACGATGATGTGCAATGTGAAAGGTGTCGCTTTATGAACTCACAGAGAGTTATCAACTCTGCACTTCCCTTCAGCTACATGGAGCAGTTTAGCTTCCTTTATCTCATCAACCTTGTTTTCAGCCTCAGCGAGCAGCTGTATGCTACCTTCCCAGCACAAAATTACTCAAGTGGTGAGTGAGTATGAAGTTAGTATGTGACTGTTGTCTGCATATATTTGCTCAGCATAAAACTACTGATGCTACCACATTCAGATGTAAACAGCCAGAGGGTCCATGTGTATGTACACAGAGGCTTGTGAGGTGGTTTCACAAACCCACTGAGCCCACATGTGTTTTGAAAGGCATTTCCTGTCCAGGCTGTCTCCAGAGTACACAAACAATTGCTGTGTGCACCACAGCATAGCTGTATGCGCACCCCCCTCAGGGATCATCAGTCCAGGCATCGAGGCAAAGTCTTCTCTCATCTCCCATGAGGGAGGCGGGGGGTTAAGAGCTGTTCTGCAAATCCATCATCGACAATACTAAACAAATAAGGTGCAGGGATACTTTTCATTGAGTGCTCACTCTCTTTTCTGATGTTGATGTGAAGGCGATTGCAGGAGGGCAGACATACACTGTGCCTTACCTCCTAGACTTAAGAGGAGATTTTAAATGAGCGAGTCCAGCCTCTCCCTGACAGCTGGAGGATAAGAGAAAATCACTGATGCAATGTTAGTGTAGAAGTTGCCATATTGCTTTCCAGCAGGTGTATAGATCCAACTGAAAAATTCAGCGGGTCAATTACAGTATCCTTTTCTACACTCCACTTTTGGTACCCATTTGCATTACTGCATTTATTATTTCTCCCGGGAGACTCCAAAATGGTTTAAACATTGCTGCTGTCAGGCAATATTTAGCTAGTTTTTAGATAAAGCTTTCATGGCAATATTCTCAGGTTCTGTAGAAAAAGTATTGCTTTATGCTTTATATGCTCAATTAAAACAAGGAGTCGGCTCTTGCTGATTATCTGAGTAGATAGATGTAAACGTTATTGCCCTGAGCATAGCCAGTGAGTGGTTTAGCCAACAGAATCATGTTGAAAGATGAAAACTGTGTGACACTTTCTAACCTTGATATAAGCCCTCACTGACAGTGCAAAATACAGCGTAACATCACCACAATCTACAGCCTTATCATATGGTTGAAAACGGAACATTACTACCTTCATGAAAGTAGAATTTATTTGTAGTGGTGTTGTATTAGACTTTTAGTTGTATGGTCACTACATTGCAACTTCCTGTCAGCAGCTAGTAGTAAGCTAAAATCTTCAGTGTACATAAGAAATAAATATGATCTCCCTGATTAGTTGAATGCAGTTGTTTAACATGGTTTGCACTGCACTACAATCCCACTAGAGGGGGGTGTTGCATTGCTCATTATAGATAAAGTTTATTATCAAAAGCAAGCAATCTTCATGGGATGGCTCAGAATGAATATGTATGTAATATGTAATATTATTCAATGCAGTTTTTGCATTGCAGTTGTGCAGAGTGATGCTGCTATGAGAAGTATCATTGTCCAAATTACGATCGGTCAACCACCCATCTGGTACTGGCAGTAGTCTGTCATTAATACGAACAAAAGGAAACATTTTTTGTGTGACACAAGTATGACAAACCTATTTAAAAATGGCTCTGCAATGTTTAATTCGAATTCCAATTGAATAGAGACCTTTAAAACCAAAGAAGTGAACTCAAAGCTATGTGTGGCAACAAGAAGACAAGGACAAGAATGTGTATGGACTTGTTAAACTCTTCTGTACACTGCTTTGTTAAATATCTGGAATATGTTGTGTTAAGTGACGGGGAAAAGAATACTTATTCATCCAAACACATTTGAATTATCTGAGCACTGATGTCATAGATTTCAATCTCATTGTCTGTATTAGTGAATAGAGCTGGATCAGGTGTGTGGTATTCGAGTGGTTTTCTCTCTCAGAATGAAAAATTATGGCGATAGATCTCAATAGACCTCTCCCTTTGTTTCAGAATGAGATGGAAATAGTTTTTTCTGAATTTATTTCAAAAATACTAATTATTGGCTATCATAGCAGAATGATGAACAAACAAAAAGTCACAAATATTAGCTCCCAGGTTTCTGCAGTTTTTAATTCTTAGTGGTTCAGTGTATTTCACGGGGGAATGACAAAACTTTTTTCTGCTGTCAAAATAAAGGCTTCAAGGATACATGTGGGAATAGTGGCCGCGCTGCTTTCAGTACCCTTCTGACAGTCTGACTCCTTTGTGACTCCAACCAACTAATTTTCCTTTCTGCTTTTCCTTTCTGCCCTCTCTCTCTCTCTCTCTCTCTCTCTCTCTCTCTCTCTCTCTCTCTCTCTCTCTCTCTCTCTCTCTCTCTAGGTTCTCTTACTCCTTGCCTGTACAAGTTTCCAGATCATGGTCTTAGTAGTGGTTCCTGTGCATTAAGCCATGGTTTCTCCTCACTGCCCTCGGCCTTCCTTTCAACTGATGAGGCCCCTGGGGGCCCCACAGTCGGTGATATGAAAACTGATGCTCAAAGGAAGAGCATACGGGACCCAGAAGAGGCCCCTGCCATGGACTCCCCACAGATACGAGAGCTTGAGATGTTTGCCAATGACTTCAAAATACGGAGGATCAAACTTGGTGAGTGTTATTACTAAAATTATCATTACAATAGCTGAAATTACCCCACTATCCAACTGCACCAACCTTGCCACGATTGTTTCTGTTGTTTGCACTCGGCTTGATGCTTCTCTGCTTATTTGTATTCCATGAAGTATTTCTATATCTGTTTCATTTTGAATGCCAGGCTACACGCAGACTAATGTCGGCGAGGCTCTCGCTGCCGTGCACGGCTCAGAGTTCAGCCAGACCACGATCTGCCGCTTTGAAAACTTGCAACTGAGCTTTAAGAACGCCTGCAAACTCAAGGCCATTCTGGCTAAATGGCTTGACGAAGCTGAGCTGGCTGGAGGTGAGACCCATACATCCTCCACTCTATCAACCTCAATTTAAAGTATTTATTGAAATGTAATCTTTACCTGGATATCTCATCTCAGTGAGGTAAAACTTAATGTAAGTCATAAATGCACTTTTGATTTATTTATTCAGATCTTCTAGAAATGCTTTCCTTCGTAACACTGGTTTGTGGGTCGTCTAGGACAGTTGTTTCCAACCTTTTTGCCTTATGACCCCTTAAATTGATCAATATCTACACATGAAGACCATTCTGGCTAAATTAATCCTCATCACATTTCACATTTAAGGAAAGATGGGAGAAAAATGTATGCATTTATACTGTGACTACTGGGAGGGGTCATAATTCTGCTCTTGGAAAAATTATATTAGATCATTGTAATAGCTGAGGTATTATAGAAAAAAAAAATAATATATATATATATATATATATATATATATATAAAGATAGAGAGAGATGTGAGCTCTTGTATTTATTACATAGGCCACGGTACAGACAATTAATGGTTAAAATGATAGTTACACTGTTTATCTGGCAGTTCAATCCAAAAGCATAAAGTAACAAAAATTCATCTTCCTTCCTGCAGCCTTGTACAATGACAAAATAGGAATGAATGAGCGGAAGAGGAAAAGAAGAACAACTATCAGGTATCAACTTGAAGGAGTAAAGACTGAATGCATTCCATACAGTAATGTTTAGTTGCATAAAGTTTATATTCCCTTGTTTCCCACTGCAGCCTGGGAGCTAAAGAGGCCCTGGAGTGCAGCTTTGTAGAAAAGAGTAAGCCATCCTCCCAGGAAATAGCCCGGATAGCCAAAGGCCTCCATCTGGAGAAGGAGGTGGTCAGGGTCTGGTTCTGCAACAGACGTCAAAGAGAGAAACGGGTGAAAACCAGTCTCAACCTCAACTCCTGTTTGACCAAAATCAGTCCAAACTGCATCGTTCAGATGAGTAAAACACAAAGACCAATGGCATAATTTTGTTCGAGGCTACTTGTGAAAATGTGTGTTTGTTTTTTTTTTTATTAAATGTCTGACTGAAATAATTTCACCATTAAGTGGGAGAATTTCACAGGATGCAAGAAAAACCTAAAAATAATAAATACTGCCCTCACCCTGCATTAAGCAGCTGCCGACGCACCTGTAACAAGTTCGTTAATTTAACATTCGGATGACAATTTATATCCTGTGATGGTCCGCCTGCCAAGAAGAAAATCCTATAAAAACATGAATCATTGTCAGTTTGTTACTTGAATCCAAAGCAAATGTTTAATTTGGAGAGATATCCGTCATTGCAGTGAGCTCCAATTTTCTTTCTTTTACTTGAACAGAAATGTTTCTTCACAGTATTTTTAATTCCCCCCTCCCCGTATATTTCCAAATATATAAATGTCAAAGAGCAATGCAGCCAGTAATGTTTTCTTTCCTGAAGTTGAAACTGTGAAGATAAAAGGTTTTCATTAACTGCTGGCTTGCTGGTTTGACGCTGCAGCTACCAGACATTCAAATGAAGTGAATCTAGGCTGTGTCCTGTTTGCTATATGCACGCTGAAAGTATATTAATCACGCAGACCCAAAATAATTTAATCCATCAGCACCAGAGTGCAGATGAGTTCTCATATAGATCAGACCCACGCCTTTCTAAAAACAGTCAATGGCAATACAGTCCTTGAATTTTATTGTTGATGAAATGTTCTACATGTGTATTTAACAGCAGGACTCTTTGTGTTATAGATGTATTCTTTGTGTATTTGTGATTAGAGCTGATACTTGTGTGTCCTCTCATTAATTACCTTGTCTTGAAATGACAAATGTCTGTTTTATTTAAGTTAAGATAGCCATGGTCCGAACAGTAATATATTTAAAGTTTCACAACAGCCTATTTATTTGAGATTTAATATATTATGTTGATCTACTTTGCTGAGTACAACTACTTTGATTTATGGTTTGAAGTCAGGTATATGTGAAACTTTTTGACATTTTTGGCAACGAATGGATCTGAGGTCCGTCGTTTCCCTTGTTGTAAGATGGATTTAATTTTTCATGCTTGTTGATGTTATGCTTTTGTCGTTGGTGCCTTGACAAAGTGTCACACAAAGAAGAACATCAGCCAGTCTGACCCGGTTGGGATGACTGATGTGAAACGTCTAAAGAGAAGAAACAAGCTAACAGACCGCAACTTCTCTCTCAGACGTAAAAAGGGGAGAGACATGAAAGTTATGTCAAGTTAATGCAGTGCAGGAAATGATAGGTCTTGTAAGAATGTATTGTAGACGGATAAAGTGCCTTCACTCAACTTGATTGAAAATATCCAGTAAATATGCCAAAGAGCTGGTTAGTACAAAAATGTGCACTTGTACTGATCGTAGGTCCTGACAGATAAATCAGTTGAATTCATTTATGACAATAAAGGAGAACAGTGTGTTCATACAGAGATACATGTATCATTTCTCTTTTTTTTACTAATGTCGTTATCTTACCCTATGAATACATACATTAGGAGAGAGTCTGGTCATGTGTACCGCATGCACTGTACAATTCATGGCTGCATCGCTGGGGATTCATAAATAAAGCTCTAAGACATCTTAATTCAGAAACAAGCCATTTCCACTGTGATTCATGTACAGCTGTCTAACTGGAGTGCTGTCAGGGGAAATAAATGTAGCAGTGCCAACACATTTCTGAGGATGTACGGTGGAGAGTTATAGGCACGGTATGCAGAGTAGGATAAAAATACTAAGAAGCTTCTTAGTGCTGGTGTCATAGATGTCAGTGGTGGAGGAAGTATTAAGTACTAAAGCAGAGTGTAAAAAATATCCTGTTCGAAGTAGAAGTCCTGCATTGAAAATGTTAATTAATTGAAAGTAAGTGTAATCAGGAAAATGTAATTAAAGTATTAAAAGTACTCAATACAAAAAATGTCCCTTGTGACTGTTGACTGGCATTACTTATGCACTAATTGTGAAGCTGGAAAATGTTAATGTTTTTTGCATGAAAACTGCAAATGATGAAATGATTATGAAAATAGGCAATTAATTTTCTGCCAATAGACTAATTGATAAATCAGCCAATTGTTTCCGCTGAACTTTTATATACTGTTGGATAGTTTAATTTATAACACATCATTATGAATACTTCATATGTTTTGTATGAAAAAATGTGTAAAGTAACTAGAAACTAAAACAGACAATTGCAGTGGAGCAAAAAGTACAATATTCCCCTGTATGACATAAAAGTGAAATACTCAGGTAAAGTAAAAGTACCTAAAATGCCAATGACATCTAAATGCATAATGCATGGTAGATGGTTCATGATTTAATATTACTAGAATAAGTAAATGCAGAATGCTTATCTGAGATACTTTGTGTTTTCTCCTATTTATTACAAATCACATACACTTTATATCACAGCGAATGCTTTTGCGGTGACCAAGCTGGAGTAGTAGAGGGAGCAGTCACTGCAAATCCAGGTTAAAAGTCCGTACTGCCTCAGTTGATCTGATGCTCGTTGTGATGGATCTTGAGTGTCAAACATCTGCCATTCATATGGAAATGAACATTGGCTACATGAGAATATCTAAAAGCAGCATGAATTTAAAAATGGTCTCTAGAAATGTTAAGTATATATAATTTGTGTTATAAACGCTGGTATGGTTCATTAACAGGAAAAACATAATAGAAGCTCACCAAACTATACCTGAAGAAACTTTATTCCTTATAAAAGCCACTAACCCTTTACAGAGTCACTGTAATGACTAAAGAAAAGAAGAGGAGTACACATACACCTTTGTATAAAGTGTGGAAATCCTAACAATGGAACTGCACTCAAACAATGTCAAAATCTGTTAAAACATTGTTTCCGCTAACAATCACAATAGACTGTTAAAAGAGGAAAGAATGATTTACAAAAATCCCATGAAGTAAGTATTGAACATGTCAGATACATGCAAGAATGAAAACATTTTCAATTTGTTTTGGCAATGGGAATCAATATGGGAACAAAAGGCCAGAGAGAGAGAGAAAAACAAAGACTCAGTATTATGTCTCTGTCACTCTCATGAAGCTGGCTGACATGAATAAATCACTGTGTAGAAGAATCAGCTTGAGAGCTCTGAATAAGAGAAAACGTCTCTTGGATCACAGTGGTTTTTTTTTTTTAGCAAACATCACTTCCATCACTTTGTTGCTGTAGTGTGTGTGTGTGTGTGTGTGTGTGTGTGTGTGTGTGTGTGTGTGTGTGTGTGTGTGTGTGTGTGTGTGTGTGTGTATATGTCTGTGAGTGAGGCAGCTTAAAAAAAACTAATTACAGTAACTGCACAGCAGCTGAAAGAGAAGAGGGACTGCAGGACCAGTGTAGTCCAACAATCACTGGAAATCCCATGTCCAATATACGATACACAATCAGATAGCAAACACCAACCAAGAATCCAAAGAAAAAAAACAACTCATTTGATTACTTAGTAGCATCAACCAATTGATTCAAAACTCTTTGATATGCCCGTCTTTTCATTAGTCCTAATTTGTGTTTGATTGAGTTTTCTCACCTAATCTTTTTAGCTTTAATGGCGCTAATTAAATGCCATCTCGCCATTTCATGCATTATTCTGAAGAAAAGTGAAGGCCTTACCCTAGCCCGAAGGCATCAATGTCAAGTTACATATTTCACATGCATATGTTTGTCTGAGTTATATCATCTCCAGTATCTATTGTAGCGTACCTAAGGATTATAAAAAAAATAACATGATAATTAGCTAGTTGACCACTTGCTTCATTTGTGTTTTGACAGTGAAATTTGTTTCTCTTTCACTCGTATGGTACAGTAACCCCTGGGATATTTTACCCACATGACAATGGAAAACATTTACTTAGTAGTAGACAAACAGTTTGCCTCAGAGGAACTGAATCAGATGGGTGTTAAATGAACCAGTGGCAACAATGACAGCAGGTAGTGAGAGCAAGAAAAATAGAAGTTCCATCTGGTTACTGACAACCCCTAAGCACTTTTTAATTACCATGTTTTACTCATTAAAAACTTGTTGGAGAAAAAAAAAAAAACATCCATCTTCAGTCACATAAAAGCTGACAGATTATATGACTAGCTCAAGTTTTGCCAGAACATCAGATGGGAAAAAGACAGTTCCAAGGTCACATTTACTGTAGCCCTTATTAAGACAGAGATGGGTGGTAAACAACAGTGTAGGTGGTTCAGAGCTCTTTAGGTCAAGAATCTATTACTGGTCCACCTTCAGGCTGCGGCCACTTCAGTGTCATAATAAATATTATTTTCGCATAAATAGATCAGATGTTCTGCCCTAATGACCTGCTGAACATGTGAATATGTATGTTAATATGATTTGACTGCCTGTGTGCCTTCAAATGTCTTAATGTATGTGTGTGTGTTGTGTTTGTGTGCACCCTTTGTTACACCTGTAGCATTTGAACAATGTGTCTAAAAGAGTCTGTATCAATCAGTATTAATGTCGCACAGGTTTATAATGCGAACATTAATACAAAGAAGACATTTAGTCCACTCCCAGAGCTCGGAGCTGTCTCTCGATCTCGTCGTCAGAGATGGTCGCTTGTTTGGAGGTGGATGCGGTAGGGAGACTCTTTCCTGCAGCTGGAGCTCTCACCATCTGGAAACACACATGGGAAGAAAAATCCCATTAGCAAGTACACTCAATTCAAACTTAACATGTGCATGCACGCACACACACACGCACACACACACACACACACACACACACACACACACACTAACAAAGCTTGGTACTTGTTGTAAGATTGGCTGCCATGTACAGCTGCCTACTGCCATTCCAAAGCCAAATGTTGAAATGTTCCAGTTCAAATTCAATCACAATGAATTGTTATTTATTGTATTGGAACTTGAACTCTCTTTAAATTAAAGCTTTAATGAAAGTGGCCATCAGTATCACAAGAATTATTATTTTACACAGCATTAATCGTTCTTCATTTGTACGGAAAAAAAAAAACACAGTAAAGCTGTAAGAAATCACTTTTAAACTTTCTTTAATTTCTCCTTTAGTATGGCTTTCCAGGTTTGTTCCATAAACATTCTTACGGCTGTTTAACTGGTATTATACAACAATCTGGCACTCACTACCGAAAGGCATAATTAAATTATGTGCATGTTAGTTCAAACTATTTTTAAATGACCTTTGAATTTGCTGAAAAACAGAAACTCTTTTCCTGCATTTGTTATTTTTCCATTATACACGGAATAATAATTCCTCTGAATAGGTCAATAATAACACATATGACTGCTTATTTAACTTTAGTTTCTCCCAAACTAACACAGTTTGAGTCGTCTAACTTCCTTCCAGCTTAAGGGTTGATAGAGAAAGCTTTTATTGTTTTGCTTTTCTCAGAAAGTGCATTATACGAGAGCATTCAGATAATTGTCTTTTATTGTGATTAAGCAGGAAATAATTACCCCCATCCTCCAAATTCATTTTTGCAGGTTTTTATTAAACTTGCCTGTTTGTTCTCTCCAGCTGTGGGCTTGTTTATTGGACAATTTGTGGGTTTGTACATTGTGTTATGAGGAGTAATAACTCATGAAGCCCCCCAGGGGGAGCCAGACACACAGCAGATGGTCAGCCTGGCAGTTACACAGACTATAGTACAGATAGAAGAGCTGAGGGCTAGCCCCACCATGTGGCAGCTGGAATACATTTTAACAGTCAAGTAAAAGCCTTGTGGAACACTTATTGTTCAGTTCATGTTGCTAGGGGATGTGCACACCATTAAGACTAGTTACATGTGTAAAAAGTGCAGTAAAATGTTAGGTTTTAACAAAAAAAAATGCTGCTTGTTTCTTAATGTTTTTATGTTTACCCGAATAGTTTAAAACACTTAAATAAAAAAACAAGAAATAGGCATCACCCATGGGCTAGAAGTGCTTTCCAACAGCTGGTAAAATTAAGGTATATAGGATACAAGGTCAGTGGTAGTTTATCTCTTAATGTCTTACCTTTCCTGAGATCTCGATGCCGATCTCATCCAGAACCTGGTTGACAATGTCCTGAGATTCCTCTTCATCCCCAGACTCATCGAAGATGTCATCCAAAGTGTCATTGACTAAACAGAAAATCAGACAGGGAGGAGATAAGGACAGACAGATCAATTAAGTACAAGTCAAATGTATTGCTTTTCACTGACAGTCTGGACTTTAGAATGAGATAGCTAAACATTTTGCATCCAAACTTGTAAATTAATGTTTGTATGTGTGGATGCTTGTGTGTTGGCACTTGCACTTTTATAAAAAAATGTAATAAAAAAAATTCAAAAGGTCTCCCTATATACAGTACATGTCACTATTATACTTTCATATTATCGCATCAAAACAGAGATTGCAACGCACGTCACTCCTTACACCATTCACATATATATCCTGACAATCTGGTTTAGGCAAGTCTGTAAATACCAGAGCTTTTTGTGTGTGCGCATGTGTGTACTATGTGTCCTTACTCATGTCCTCAGTCATGCCCATCTTCATGTTCTCTTTCTGGAAGTCCTGCATTGTCTTCAGGGTCTTCTGTGGGTCCATCTTTTTATTCACTGCTTGCATTGTCTGTGAACATTATTGAGAGAAGGTTAGATAATTCAATTGGGATGTTTTAAGCTTGGTACAGAGGAGAAGCAACATACTTTAAGAGCTGTTCTTGAGGAAAGAAACAAAATGGCACGCTTAATTGCTGGAATTTTCTATGTAATTTCTTACATGGCCTTCTTTTTCATCATAAGAGGTTGGTAAAATCTGTGCAAATAAAGTCTGATTGGCACTGTCATCATAATATTCCCATAAAAAATACTCTAGGTAAATTACCTTTCATATTACAGACGAGACACTTGCCCAAGGAGCAAATTCCAGATGATTCCTACACTTATTACAAATCAGAGTGTGTCCCAAAGAAATATTGGTTTGGTTGAAATAGGTTTAGAGAACTTGCATTCATTAACACATAGGATGATAGAAATAAGAGGGAAAAAACAGACAGTAACTAAATTATGCATCTCCTTCCTTCCTGTGAAAGATCAGCACAACTGGGCTTACTTCAACAGCTGAGCCTGACACAACAGATAGGATATATCCTTGTCTCCACTTCACTGTCGTTGACATACCGCTCCAACCCATGCTAACCCATAGCTCCCAATATCATGGGAGGAAAGTGCTGCACTATTCATTGAATAAACTGAACAGAAGCTGAAACTTTTTTCTAGGAAAATCTGTGAGTGTGTGCGCATATGTGCGTAAACAAACTTTGTGTACGTCTGACATAAAACAATTAACACATTCTCTCTGAAACAGCCACACACCCACCTCATCACACTCCATTAATCTGAAGCCTAATTATATTTGACCTGTCTGTGTTTGCTAAGTCTGACTCTGTACAGTACATCGCTCCTGGCCAATTACTACCTCTCACACTTCATTACCACCACCGCCGCCACGAGACTTGGCTTTAAACATGAACAGATCCCACATTAATACTTTAATTACAACACTAAAATATTGATACGAGCAAACACTGAAACTGGTTCATATGCAAAATAGAAACGCACCCAACTTTTCACGGTGAGTTGAATACAGTGGATAAAAGTAAAGTAGATGTATAAAAGGCCTTTTAAGTATTAATCGAGGTGTGGCCTTATGCAACAAAGGAGTTCTAGCTGTCCACATTCAGCATATCCTTCAACAAAAAAATATGAATATAAAGTGGTATAAATAAAACCCAAGAAACAAGAGTGCAAGTGTAGCTTGGGTTAACACATTATATATGTTAATAATCGGTTGATTGTTCTCCTGTTGTAACAACACAGCCCTTAGTGCCTTCAAACCAGAGTAAACTTCCCAACTGAACATGAATTGTATATTTTAACTGATGAACAGGATCCAGGATCTCACCTTGGCTGTGGTGGACATGGCACCAGCCATCTTCATTTGGGAGTTCATCATCTTTGTCTGTGTAGACATGGAGGTGACTTTGGAGCTGACAGCGTATGTGCGGTTCTTCTGCTTCCTCAGCTGGACTAACTGCTTGGCGAGGATCTTGCACGCCTCCTTGTTACCACTCTTGGCCATTTTCTTGATTTCTGCCTCCTGGAGAGTGAAGAGGGGAATTTGGGATATAAGCACTTGACACTAACAAGGCAAACTTTTAGCATACTAATAGTGTGTATATTTCAGTATGTGCAATGTCGATATGCAGGTTCCATATTACAGAATGGTACAACAGAAAAGTAAGCAAATGAAGTAGCCATTAATAGCTTCAAATTCAAATTCATAGTGTTATGAATTCAGGGTTCTCTGGAACCAACCCATTGACGCTACTGAGAGTCTCCTGGTTTATACGGGTATGTAAGTCACCTGCCTAACAGGGAAAATAAGCATTATTCTTAGAGATAATGTTCCATATGAATGAAGAAAAACAAAAGGTTTAGGGTCCATATTAAAGATCAGGATAAGGAACAGCTACCTTACTCAAAGTAACGTCTTGTGAACTTAATAGTGTCAGTAAGCAGCAATATGAGATGCTTAATCATGTCAAAAGCCACATTAATGTCTTGGAAAATCCAGAGGGAATAACCAACAGCTTTGTCAACTGCAAGGAAATCCCACCAAAGGCCAGAGTTGATGCCATGAGGCGTTCTGGATGTGCAATCCACACGGACGCCATTTTTGAAGAAACGTTTTAGATGTCAATCACTCGTTTTCATGACATTTTCCTCATCTTAAGTGACATCCCATGACTCCTATAAATCCAGAGGGCTTTTGTAAATTGCTTATCTGTGATCTTTTGACCTGTAAAGTGCAGTCCCAATCTCCTTATTGTACCATATAAACACATTATACATAAATACAAACACCTAAGTACTTGTGTATGCATATCCTATATATATTGATAAACAAACAGAAACATATCCACAAAGCTCCCCAGAGACCAATGTGTTTGCAAATATAGACATAGTAAATAAAAGTCATCTGGGTCAGGTCTCACATACTGGCAAGCAAATAGGTGCTTTTAGCTTTAGTAAACATCAGAAAATACACGGATGCCCACAGGGATCCTGTGTGTGGGCATGAGTGTGTGTGAGCATCCCAAGAGACGAGAGTGGAAGCTGCAGGTTACAGTGAGCTAGCCAGGCCTCTCAGCGCTGCTCCGTACAACAGCCCCAGCATGTGTTGTTTATTTCTTGTGTGCGAGCTAAAAAGCCCTTTCAGGAAACAACAATCTATTATTAATGTTTGATGAAGCAATAGACAGTCTCCACTCAGCTCAGTGTCTGTTTCCCTCTCTCTCTCTCTGTCTCACATACACACACACTCAAGCACACACAGAACAGGTGCATTAGGTTCAGTCTGCATTTGCTTGCGAGCAGAAAAAAAATCTAATTAATACCATTGTGGTAAAAAAAGCTGTAGAGCTCTGTGAGGAAAAAAAGGAACACATTGACAATAATAACGTTTACTGCACTGTCATCTGAAAAACTAGGAATGCTTTAACAGGGGAAAGACAAATATGAGAGCAGTGGGACTGCTGCTGATATGAAGCTTATAATATCTTATTTACTGCCTGTCAGACAGGGAGGAAGGGGGTGAAGGGGATGTGATGGATAGAGAGTGCTCTCCTAAACATGAAAGAATGTGAGGCTGCTTGACTTCGCCTGGTAGGAAGTGGGAATATTTATGTATAAACAAAAGCCAAAGTTTTTCTGAACAACAGATGGACAACGTGTTGCAACAGTAGCTTCAATCCACAGATGTTGCTACAAACATTTGTGGGTTTTTCAATGTATTTTTGTTTCAGGGAGCCAAATTTAATACAATTTAATATGTTTTATGCTTGGTCACAAATTGACCTAAAACAATTTGTTAAAATTAGTTTAACAACAAAGGTAAACAAAAACAAAGAGGATACTTTTATTACACAAGTTCAAGTTCAACTGGGATTTAACATAATTGTGGAAAGGCATGGTTTAACTGACTTAGGTTTTAATATAGTACTCATTCTTTAAACTTGTCAAGGACTTATGGACTAGGGTGCACGGTGGGGGGGCAACAGTCATGATTGTACTAAACTGTAAATATAGGTCATTTCCATTTCTTAGCGAAAGTATCTTTTATTCAGAACATGAAACAAAGCTTTTAAAAAACCTAGACTAATTAGCGGAAAGCTGTAATGAGGAATAAAAATCTGGTTCCCCGGGGAGGTAATTATGTCCTGTATGATATTTACTTAATACAACAGAGGGGAGAGGACACAGCCGTCTTCTTTCATCTTTCAGAGAGGGGAGCTGTTATGTGTGTCTGTGAATATTGCCTTATCGTGTAACTCTGTGCGAGTGTGTGTGTGTGAGGAAGAGAGTAGTCTCACTTGCCTGAAGCAAAGCCACCCCACCAAATTGTTCTTGTCTATTAATTTACACCCATTAGCCAATCAGGGTCAATCCCAGATAGTAGGAAGTGGATATAATGTGCAACTCTAGCTCTGTGTGTGTGGTGGGAGAGTGGGGGGGGTCTTAATATAGCATTGATGCAATATGTGGAAATCTATATGTGAAATGCTTTGTGTAGAGATACTTTTGTTCTGCAGACTTTTAGTGTGTGTGTGTGTGTGTGTGTGTGGTCCTACCATTTGTTTCTCTTGTTTCTCCAGCGCTGCTCTGTCTCTGGTGATCTGTCTCTGGGTGCCACGCAGCTCCTTTGACTGTTCCTTGATTATGTCTTTTGAGAGAGACAGAAAGGACGAAAGATCTCTGAGTTTATGCGATTACATGTATGAAATTTTACTTTAGCGGTTTTAAACAAATTCTCAAATATTTCAATTGTTTTTCGAGAGGAACGTCAAACAAAAACATTTTGGCTTGGACAAGATTCTCCCGTGTGATGAAAAAAAAAAAGCCAAGTGTAGTGATGGTAAGATAACTCCAGTCTCAAAATCTGGCATGACTTGCATCGCCAACATAATCAGAAGTTGACAGCTGAACAGAAAGCTCATAGCTATAAAGGCCAGCAGCAAGAATGTGGAGTACAATCTTTTATCTGCTGTGTAGTTTTTTAAGTATGGACCGCCCTCTGCCCTTTCTTTCTTTTTTTTTTCTCAGTGCAGTACAGGTGAAGTGGTAAAAAACAGACAAAAAAAAAATCTGTAAAGTTGATTATGTTTTGATTTGGACATCACTGAGTCTCTTGTGCAGTGCAGTTAGAAAAGGGTAGGGCCGAGGTCAGCTGGCCTTGGAAAAAAATCTAAAACATTTTCAGTGGCTTAATGGTGAGCATGTGTGAGTGTGAGCCCACATGCACGAGAAATACCACAGAGCAACAAGCAGCGCTCGCATACTGACAATGCCAACTGTGGAAGTGCTTGGACAGCTCACACCAATATTGAGTCAGCCCTAAACCGCCCACACACAAACACAAAGTGGTATCATGTGAGATAATGTATGACCCTGAAGTCACACATTCATCCATGACTTCTGAGTGAGGGACAGCTAAAGCAATCAGTATCACACACACAGGCACTTTCAGGACCTCAGATTATACAGAATATACTATCTGATATCAGCCGCTTGATTACTTAAATCAGATTAAGTAGAAAATAGGTGATTTTGGAGGTTGCAATATACAGCACAACACACACAACATATTATATATTATATAAGACAATTTAAAATTAATATTTAAGTGTTCAATAAAATTAGATTCAGGATAAATAGAATAATCAAGTCAATTTTATCCATATAGTCTAAAATCAATAATTACACATTTGCGGATAAAGTCCCCAAAAAAAACCTTTAACAGGGGTAATAAAGGGATAAAAGAGATCCCTCTTTAAGGAGAGACAGATGGCAATAGATGAGTATGGAAACATAACACCTAATAGGTTCTCTGGGAAGACATGTAGACATTATATTGGTAAAAAAAAAAAGATAATGAAGACCATAACAATACATTTCTAAACAACTGATTCAGCTCTATATTCATAAGTTGCTATAAGATATAATAGGACATATCACTTTTTTTGCCAGAAATGTGCTCATTATAATGAAAAGTTCAGCCATCATGAAGTTGGTCGAGACACGTCATTGCGTTGGACCACTTGTAGGTACGACGCATGTATACGTAGAAGGTGACGTGACGCCAACGTCTCAAAGTGGGAGGGATATCGTCCTACAAATAAGTGTGAACTAACCCCCCCCTCCTTCCATTCGCCAAATAACCAGAAACTACTTCAACCACCCTACCAAGGGCAACATCCGAAATAAAAAATGCATCCAGAGAGCAAGAGGTGAGAGAAATTAAGAACATGTGATGGAAACTGCGTGATGTGAAAGCTGAGAGGACCTGACAATGGCTGAGCATGGAGTGGAGGTAACACAGCACAGTAAGTACAGTATGCAGATTATCTGTATGGCTGAAACCGGAATGACAATGTTGGGAGGAGTGGGTAGGCGGTGCTGTGAAAAGATTTTCCTTTACCAGCAGAGCCTATTTTTAAATCTGCAGATAATACACTTTGATATTTTTTAAGATATTCTCCACACACATAAGTTTTGTGTCCAGAAGAGGTGAAGTTTAATCCCTCACTTTGGAAATCCAGCCCTTGGAGTCGATATAATCAGTATTTGAAATAGAATAATTGATCCATTAATTTGATGAAAGAGAGGCTGGTTTTTCCATTTTGACCTTGTGAGGCTGATTACCTAGCCTGGAGAGAAATAGTGAAATATTTAGATTGAAGGGCTTTTCAGATTTTTTTGACATCACTGTATATTACTGACCAAAATTACCATATCCAACTCTAAAGACAGCTTGACATAATGTTGTATTTCAACAGCCTTTCCTTTACATTACAGAATATGATCAAATTTCAGCTATTCTACTATAAAGAAAACAGTTATTTTTAAATCTATTTAGGCCCATTAAACATGTAAATGTACAGTAATGTAGCTTTTAATGAACTTAATGTCTTCTTGAGAAGGAAAATGAGAGAGTAGGAAGGAGGTAGCGTTTGGAATAATCCGATTAAGTTAAATAAAAACAATAACAAAAAGTTGAAACACATATCTGATATTATCTATTTAACATATTCGACGTTTACATACATTTTAGGACAATACGGGTTTATGTTTCCGATTTCTGTTCAGTCATTGTAAAGCAATTACTTAACCTTAGCTGTAGTGTAGCAGTACAGACACTAATCTTCCTACATGGACCCAAAGTAAGCAGTAACCACATTATCGTCGTACAGAGTGAGCCAGCATTAGCATTATATGTTTATATAGAAATAGCTCGTTCCCCTAACGCTAATACGATAATATGTTAAGTTTTTTTGGCAGCGCTTCAACGCAGCTTTTAGACTTCAGTCGGCAGTGTGACTGGTGACTCATCTCGACCCAGAACAGGTTAAACAAGTTGGGGAGAGTCGATTTTATTAAGCTGGGAAACAACACAGCAGTCAGTACACCCAGGCTAAAAACAAGTTAGCTAGCTTTTACGCACAGAGCAAAACTTACCATCGACAGTCTTCTTCTTGAAAAGGGAAGCCATGTCGCTGCTTTGTATCAACCTGAACACCAACTATAAAATCCCGTACTGATTAATGTGTGATTGCTATTGTTACTACCGCCGTTGGGCCGTCTCACCGGGGCGGTGGGTCGGTTTCCTGGTTGACTTTCTGTTGCCGGAGTTCCTCCCTCAGCTGACTTGACTCAACGGCTCCGCGTGACGTCACGGCGGGACTCTCACGCCGCCTTCACCGCGCCTCGTAAAATGCGGTTCGCCCGTCGAGAAAAGGGCAATACGGTGGACCCACGCGTCTGTTCCCGCTGGATGTCTGGACCACAGATGAAGTGGATGCCAACGTGTGTGTGTGTGTTTGGGTCCAAAAATCTATGCATAGTGGTGGAACAAGAAAAACCAGACAGTGGTAGCCCTGTTTAACAGTATTAACATAATTAACATTGTAGTAGCACCTTGAAAAGTGGCCACTGCATTGGGAAAAAAAAATATTATTCCATTGAGACAAATATTGAGACACTTAAATATCAGTCCTGTTTACAACTCTTTTGGTTTATTTATGTCTACTGAACATGGATTTGCCATATTCCGTGCGGTAAGTGAATGCAGCATAAATGCAGAGGAACTGACAAAATGTTCAGTGGCAACAAAGACATCTCTTAGCTAAATGATAAGGCTAAGCAGGCAAATTAAGTAATGTGTGGGCTGTCTATCATTTCATTCCACTTTTTTTTCCTTACAGATTTTACTTTAAGTGCATATTTAATCCAACTGATGTCTTAATTGGGTCTCCCTCTCCTCCTCTCAGTCTTTCAAGTGAGGTTTTGCATAAAGTGTATGTGAGCAGTCTATGTATCTGGTGCCTGTTATCAGTATATACACTGGTCATAGCACACAAACATGTAAAATATTGTAAGGAAACAATCCACAGACGACGTTACTGTCCCCCATGGCTTCTCGCAGCATCATAAATTCTGTTATTCTCAATTTCCTCCCTCCTCTCTTTATCCCAAGAGGCAAGGGTTTTTATGCACGCCAGTGTGTATTCATATATTGTCTTATTTCATATTGATGCTGAGAGCAACTTTATGTGAGGTGGTGGAACTCTTGAACCATAACCAACTCATTTTGGTGCATATGTGTGTGTGCGCTCGATCTGGCAGTGGGAGGTAGCACATAAGAAGCAAGGCTGGGGGGGCTCTTAGCCCCCAAATTGTGAGAGATGCCAAGTTATGGCTGCAGCAGAGGAGAGAGGGGTGACATTGAGGAGAAGGAAAGGAGGATGGGTAGCCCTCAGCTCTTTTCTCTATCTCCAAGGATGTGCATGTGCGTGCACTCACTTGCCTGTGTGCATGAGCATGTCGTCCTGAGGCGTTGTTCTTGTTAAGGTTATTAGGGAAGATGTTTGCCGCTAATCAGTGGAGGACTATAGGGACCCCCACTAAACGGCCTCATCATCAGAGGGCCCCAGTGGTGATAAATCCAGCCCCAAGCACCCAAAGGGCCTGCAGGTACTGTGCCTGTATCTGACTTTGCTATAGGAGCATGTAAATCAATACTTGATGATCACATTTCTTGCCCTTTTTTTTGCCTGTGATGGATAAATTGGATCATGATTACATATGCATAGTAGAACTGATCAATATTACACAATGTGATGGCTTTAACCTGAGTTTATTCTAATTAGATACTTTCATAGATATACCTATTTTTTTAGGTTAGATCTTTCAGTATTAATGTAACAAAGGCTTCTCCAAACTGAATACAAAGGGGAAAAATGGAAGTGTGTTTGCAAGTGCAACCAAGCAAACAGATTAAAATAAAACTAAACAACAAAAATATAAAACGTGAAGAAATTCTTCTCTTCTCTGTTTCTTTTTTGTTGTCTTTTGGCATCACTTTCTCCCCTTTTTTCTCCACTTTCTTAAACTATCTATCTCTCCTGCTCTCCTCCTCCTCCTCCTCCTCCTCCTCCTCTCTGTGATCTAGCCCGGGGCAAACAGACATGTAATGTTAAGGCACTAAATACAGAGTGCATGGACACACACACACACACACACACACACACACACACACACACACACACACACACACACACACATATACACACAGAGACGTTCATGTGTGAAATGAGATCTCTGCACAATCAGTGGGAGTCGCAGCCATAAAGCACATCGAGCTTTTCAGCTTTAAGGTATCATCGAACAAATCGCACAAATCCTTTCATCTGATGACCGTAGAGTTATTCTTGTAACAACTGTGTTTTTTTCCCCTCTTCACAGATAAACCCATTCATGGACGTCCAATGATGAAACTTAGAGTTGCGTTTAGCAGTGAGGGGTCCTTTTATGTTATTTGTTTGGGGAGGTTGAATTATAGTGACTAATATTTTACACCTAATAACAATTTGGTCACTTTAATGGATTAAGACACATTAACACAAGAAGTTGTCTACTTTATTTCAGCTGGAAAAATTGTAGGATCAGAATCAACAACTTCATATCCATCACAAGATGAACAATCATGAGTCCATGATGTCTCACTTTTATGGCTATAGACCAATATCTGCCCCATACATCAGCAAAACCACAGATTCCATTATTTTTTTATATTTTGTCATTTGCAGTAGAATTTCAACAAGGCTCCCTTAGGCCTCCTCAGGATGTAAATCTCATTCCCCATATTTATCAAGTGTGAATCCTGAATTTATAATAGCATATAAGATATGACTGTACGCTGCATTCTTCCCTCAGCCCTTGACATGTAAGTAGGCTGAAATATGTTTGTATGCAAACACAGAGAGAGACAAGGGGCTGTGATGGGAGGCACGGGATTTCAACAGTACTTTTTCTCTCTGATGGATGGATACTTCACTGCTACCCAGATGGACAGAGATAGATAGAAGGAGGTAGGGAAGGACACAAGGAGCACCAGGGGGATTAAAGGAAGAGGAGAATAGAGGGCAAATTCAGAGAGAGGAAGAGAGGAGGGAATCAATGGAGCAATCAAAGAGCAGAGCAGGGACGGGGGAGAAGTTACAGTTTACATGGTCAAAAAGTCTGGAATTACTAAGCATTGATCTTAAACACATACATTGGACTCTGCCACAGTACGCTTACACAGATTATATAGATGCTTATACAGACTGTTCATTGTCCCAGTATTAAAGGACTAGTTTGCCTTTTTGTGAAATATGCTTATTCACTTTTAAATTAGATGAGAAGACTGATTCAACTCTAAAATCTTTCTGAGTTATGAAGTTACAGTCAGGAGATGGTTATCTTAGTTTAGTTTAAAATAATGTATTTTGTTTATCTAATCTGCACAATAAAAAAAATGTAAAAATGAAGAGATGAAGTTTTTGTTATTCAGGGGTTCTTGGCCACTTGGCCAGACAGTAAGTCTGGTTGCCTAGCAACCTCAAATTGATGACGAAACTCCAGGAGGTCACTGTGTCTGCCACAGAAATAATACACATAATATAACCGCCATAATACACAAATTGTAGCTTCTCTGACTTTTGTATGTATTAAGAGCAAGTCAAGCTTTTTCCCCTTTTCCATTCTTTATGCTGAGCTAAGCTAACATGCTGCTGGCTGTAGACTGATCGACTGATTGATTGAGTGACTATAAATAAAAATGCAATACAGAGATTTGGGTACAGTTCTAAAATTCATCAGGATTTCACAATAAAGTCACATTACTTTATCCATTGTGGCCCTGAAGTCTAGGCTGGGAGGCAGACAGGAAAACATAATGACACATATATGCTACCAATATCCTTTTTAAATTATTTTAATACACCTAATAAAACATCAAAATGCTACATAAATACACAAAATAAAAAAATACACAAAGTCTGACACCATTGCTAAAAAGATGGTTACTCAGCATCCATTTCAGTCAAAGCTTCAAACATGAGAGTGGCATTGATCTTCTCACTGAACTCTAATCTACTCCAATCTAGTTAGATAGCAATAGGTACAGCTGAGATGACCAGTACCACACTGTATCTATGCAAAAGTTTTGAGAGGAATTATTCCTAACATGACATTTTGATCAGTTTCCAAACATGGTATGTAAGTAGTGGAAAGGATTTAGGACATATGGAAGACAGCAGGTGGCTGAGAGTGCGGGAAGAGACGGAGGGATGGTAGGGAGCAGGAAGCTACGGTGATAGCAGCGGGGGAGGCAGGGGGCAGGGAGTTTGGGATGGTCTAATAAATCGAGTGAGTGACTCCACTCGTTTCTGCCCGTGGGACGAATCTAGCCGCGCTCACCGGCGCAGTGCAACATCAGGGAATTCTGGGTAATGAGAGATTATTCTCCCCTGTAGTGTTTGCTCATCATCATTGCCTCTCGCAACCTCCCCTGCCTCCCACGAAGCACACGCCCCCCCCAAACACAAGGCAGATTTAGCATTTAGAAGCAGGTGTGGAGTTATATATATGAACACGTGCAGACACATACACAGACAGTGGCACTCCCATCTTACAGACATGGTTTTTTGAGTAAGGTCAAACAGAGAAGTGTTATTGTTTAAATCTGCTGCTGGCGCCAATTTTGGATGTCACACTCAGTGAGGCACACACACACACACACACATACACACACACACACACACACACACACACACACACACACCCACGGTTCAATGACACCCTCTTTTATCCACAGGTCCCTTTTGCCTGAGGAGGCCAATCTGTCTGAGGGTAGATCCTACATGCATCAAACCAGAACCCTCCTCTGCCCTTTCTCCCTGTTTTTTTCTCTCTTCTGTCTCTCCAGCCCATGGTCCTCCTTCGCCCTGGAGCCAGGCTGTGACCACAAGAAGTAGGCTGGTGGTCCCAGCAGGGGCCGAGCTTCAGACACACCATTAGCATGAGGGAATTAGAGTCATTACAACTGGAAGGGCAACGGAGGACGAGTCCTTCGTTCCACAGAGGAGGATAGAGGTTTGGGAAGTTGTGTGAGGGAGGAAACAAAGTGGGAAGCTTCATTAATCACATAGTTGGGAGAACATGTATCCAAAATGTTGGACATGGATGTATTTGTAACAAGAACACATATTTATATTATTTTAGATGTTGTAGGTGGTCCTGATTCTGAATTCCATATTCTGAAAGACAGAATAATGTGTTTTAAATGAACATATTTTATTAATGACAGCTGGACAGGTAGGTAAGGTGAGTT